TTCATCGCCACCTACTGGAGGACATAAAAATCAAGTCATCTCTAATATCAGATTAATTGTTGAGCAGTTTTTGTACAGCTTCTCCTACTTATCACATCACTGTGTTTGCTGACAGCACAGAAATACACACCGCTGTCATTCTGCTGCAAATCATTCACAGTTAGAGCGCCGTTCTCAGCTTTTGCTTTTAGAGCTGAATATTTGTTTTTAGGTGCCCCACCATAGTCGGGCACCCCACCCAAAGCTGTGTAGACGATGAGTCTCATGGTCTCGCCCGGTCTTTGAATATACCAGTACATCTGGTTATGAGATATATCTTTTTTTGTGGCTGCAGTTCATCTCTGCAGCTTCGTTAACATAACTCCATCTGATTTCAGGTTGTTGAGTCACATCCTGGGAAAAACCTGAAAGAAGAAAATATAAATGAATATTAAAAATACTCTGAGCAGACGTGTTCAGGTCTTACATGAACAAAAGTGATTAATGTTTATGTACCTTGAAGCCACAGAGATGAGAATATGAAAGCGATGACCGGTTGAGCAATCATAGTGTTACTGTACAATGTGATGAGAGAGATTTTCATTATTTAAGTCTACTGCTTTTTATAATGGTAGGTGGAGGTTAAAGGCTTTTCCTCACAGTAAGGACCTCCCATTCCCTTACTGGGTTATAATCACAAAACCAATGTTGGTTAGAATACAGGTGCAAGCAGCTATGAGCTGTAAGAAGACTAACAGTGAAGAAGTTTTTGTATTGAGGATTATTGTTATGTAGCACTGTGTAACTAGCAGCACAGAAGTACACTGCACTGCTGTTCAGGGTGAGATCTTTAATTGTCAGTGTGCAGGTCTGGTCTTTATTTGCATTCCCATGAATTGTCACAGTCACTCTGGGCTCTAGAAATGGGCTTGTTCCTACCATGTATCCCAGGAGCTGTAGTTGACTGTTTTCTGTTTGCTTGTACCACAAGATGCGATCATAGTTAGTTATCTTGTGTACACAGTTGATTTCAGCTCTTTGTCCTTGATTTTTATACATATCAGCTGGAGTCTGGAAGACTTGGTCACTGAGTGAGGAACCTGTGAAAAATGTCAACAAAAAATCTCACAACAATATAAAACAACAAATATGTGAGTAAAGGATTAAAAAGTAAAAAAGGTGCATTACCTGAAACCAGGATAATGTTTAAGGTTATGTAGAAGAAAGTAAATATCATATTGTGTTGCATGATTATATTCAAGAACTTGCATGTTAAGTCTCCCGTGCTTTCATAACTGTGTATTCAGCTACACTGATCATTCATTTGTCATTTCTGGTTAAACCCTCCCATCAAAAAATGGGCAGTGATGCAGTGAATTCTGAGCAGCCTCTACGCCACAGACATACTGCCACGTTATGAAATGGCTTAAAGTGACAAAAACCTGTAACACACTGTCATTTTTCAGCACCTTACCATGTTTTTCTATATCTCCTTGCACATCTTTGTCATCTTTTCCTTCATCTATGCAGAACTAGCTGCTCAGGAAACTGTGCATCCAGGCTTCAAGCAGCACTGTTGGGTCAAAATTGATAGTGCATTAATATGCTTGAATTTTTCATGTCTATCACTGAATTCTATCCACTACATCCAGATTCATAAATCACAAGACCAATGTTGGTTAGAATACAGGTGCAAGTGTCTGTGAGCTGTAAGAGGTAAAAACTGGCAATTGGAAGGTTTTTGTATTGAGTATCAGTGATATGTAGCACTGTGGTATCTAGCAGCACAGAAGTACACTGCACTGCTGTTCATGAAGAGATCTTTAATTGTCAGTGTGCAGGTCTGGTCTTTATTTGCGTCCCCACCAATTGTCACAGTCACTCCAGGCTCTACAGATGGGTTTGTTATAAACATGTACCCCAGGAGCTGCAGTTGGCTGTTTTTTGTTTGCTTGTACCAGAGGATTACATCATAGCTGTCTATACTGTGTGAACAGGTGATTGCTGCTGTTTGTCCTTGAATTTTATACATATCAGCTGGATCCTGGTGGACTCGGTCACTGAGTGAGGAGCCTGTGTTTAAAAAAGCAAACAAAAAAACATCAGAAACCTCATCAGAAATAAACTTCCAATATAAGAGTAAATCCTGAAGACTTGAAAAGTTAAAGAGTGCATTACCTGACACGAGGATAATGTTAAAGCTTATGCAGAAGAAAGTGATTACCATGTTGTTTTGCATAACTAAACTCAGGAACAGAGCTGTTATGTTGGCTGTGCTTTCATAACTGTGTATTCAGTTCTGCTGATTATTCATATCTCATTTCTTGTTAAACCCTCCCACCAGGAAAATGGGCAGTGATGCAGTGGATTCTGAACAGCCATTATACTACAGACATACTGCCAGCTCATGAAAATAAATAGTGTTTCTGTGTTTGAGTTCCACACTGTTATTTCTTTCTTTGTCTGTGAAAGCTTTGTTGACATAACACCAGTTGATTTTACGGGATTGAAACACATCCTAGGAAAAAACTGAAAGAAGAAAATATATATGAATACTAAAAATGCTCTGAGCAAACGTGTTCAGGTCTTACACGAACAACAATGATTAATGTTTATGAAACCTTGAAGCCACAGAGATGAGAATATGAAAGCGATGACCGGTTGAGCAATCATAGTGTTATTGTACAATGTGTTGAGAAAGATTTTCATTATTCCTATTATTTCCTATTCCTTTAAAAAAAAAATGATTTTCTCATAGCTAAAGCTGTTTCCTGAGCAACCATTTCAGTAGTTTGACAGCAGATGTGGTGTAATAAATCAAAAGGCCTTCCAGAGGATATTAATAAAAAGAGAAGAATATTTGTATCTGAAAGGGGAGCTGCAAAAATGCATGTGATTTTTTTTTAATGTATATTGTTTTGCCCTGACAACGATCTGATGTTTCCAAGTATAATTATCAGACTGTGGCATGCAGTATTTAACTGTCACTGTCCAAATGCTTATGGACCTGACTACACCTGCTGTGAGCAGTGTGGACAAATTAAAGATAAAACGAGAAATGTAATAGTCAAGCAGCAATATAAGATGAGTTAATGTAAAATATTGGCTGTACTGCAGTATTTAAGTCAAGTTTAGTGTCTTCTGTAAGTGCCTTCTCACTCAGCATCATATCATTTAAGGAATAAACATATGTCATATCAACAGAGCAGATATTACATAAGTAAACTGAAACTGCAGCTAAAAATATGTTGGCTTTTGATTCTTTACTGTTTAACTTGCAGAATATCAGACACTATGCTCATCACCATCTCCTAAAACCAATGATTCAATGATTTGGATGTGAGTGAATACGTTTGGCAATATAGTGTATGTGTTGAGATGTAGGTCTGCCCCACCTGGTAGGAACAAAAGAGAATGCAAACTTTTATAAGGCTTGGAGGTCTGTCATGTCTGCTTTTTCTACTTATGTGAATTAAAGCTGTACTTATGTTTTTGCTATTTTTTTCTTTCTTCCTGGTTTTATAAACAATGCATACTCTAAATAACACACTTAGATAAATGATAATAGAACAAGGGTATATTTAATACATTTTTACATGACTGGATTAGGCCACAAACCACTAAAGCAGGTGCTTAAGAGCTTGTCTTATCAAGACCACCAAATGTAAACAAAAACAAAAAACTGTGCAGTTTTTGTAGTGTTCAGTGGGGCTTTTTGTCATTGTGCATACCTTGCTGCACAATGGTACACTGCACTGTGCTCTTGTTGTGCAACTTTGATAATCAGAGAACTGGTTTTTGCCGTATCCCCACCCAAATCTCCAGTGATATTGAAATGATCTTTATATTGGTCTTCAAATGTGACATCTTTGTAGTACAAATGCCCAATGAGTTTCATAGCTGTCTCTCCAGGCTGCTGCTGGTACCAGAGAATCACCCTGTAGTCAGTCTTTTCATGGCTACAGAAAATCTCCACTTTGGATGCAACGTTTGTGATAAACTCAGACGGAGACTGACGGACCTCGATACCCAGACAGACACCTGGATAGAAAATGAAAAAACATTCAATTTAACCCAAAAAATATGACACATTTAAAGAAACCACCTCCATGTCAAGATCATCTCATTTTAAGTAAAGACATTATTACCTATTAGGCAACAGAAAAAGAGAAAATGAAACATGTTGACCTTCCTTTTGATAACACGTTAAACTATGTGCCTAAGACTAATAGGGATTTAAATCACTGTGTTCTGACTTCAGATCAACTGTGTGACCCCACTGATTTATCTAAGACCTAAAAGAAAAGCGAACACTATGCTGGCTGGTATGTAAGAGGTCGGGGAAGTATGATCAGTTCAAAACCATCCACTTTGATGGTTTTGAGTTTGTGTATTAAGGGGAGGGTTTTTCCTCTGAGTGTGCACAGTAGTGCACTGCACTGCACTCAGGTGCCTTGAGGTCGACTATAGACAGAGAACCATTCTTTTCTTCCTCTCCACTCAAATCACCTTAAAATATTTTTTTTATTCTGGCGTTTCGTTCCTGGGCCTACATCAAGTGCAACTGCTGCCCACATACCACTCCTATAGAGTCAACAGCACAGAAAAATCCAAGTTTATGAGCAGCAGTTTGTCACTTTGAAGATATGCAATCCAAAACAAATATCAAAACAAATCGAATCATCTTTTTTCTTCCCTTACAAAGTAATAAGCAAACTAAAGACTATTCTCTAACTCTCAAAAACCAAGAAACAAAAAATGAAGTATTTGAATAAAAAAGGGCCTCTCCCTCCTTACAAAGCTAGCTACAAAGTGCTCGATATGTGAAGTTAATACAAATTTAAAGTTTACTATTTACAAGGATTATTTACAAAATGCTTTCAGCTACTGTAACCACAAAGACTTCAGATTGTAATGCTGATCTCTCACAGACAGGAGAGAAAGCTGAACACACCCATTGTAATGGTAGAAAAAACATCACATCTTCATGGATCATGTCATTCTTTGTTGTTTTAATGCACATGTCCAGTGCACTTCATGGCTTGGGCTCCATGGGATTTCTGTCTTTCTGTGGTTAAGACCTGTTGGACTTTGTCTTTGGGTGTCTGATAAACATGATGAGCTCCTGTTTGAACCCTGAGTGACTCTTACACTTTGCCAGTTGCTGCAGGTTTTGATATCTGTATTTCTTGAGCTCCTGTGCCACCTACTGGGAGGACATGAAAGTCAAGTCATTTCCAACGTTAGATTAGTTGTTGAGTGGATGTTGTACAGCTTCTCCTGCTTCTCATGTCACTGTTTGCTGATAGGACAAAAATATATGCCACTGTCATTCTGCTGCATATTATTCACATTAAGAGTTCTTAATGTCTTTTCTGCTGCCTGAATATTTGTTTTTATGTTTCCCACCAAAGAATGTGTAGATGATGAGGCCTCAGTCTCTCCTGGTCGTTGAATGTACCAGTACAAATGGCTATGACTCCTTTTTTTTGCATCAATCATGTGTCCTGAAGCCACAGAGATGGTACAACAAATGTGACAAGCACCTGAGGAATCATAGTGATACTCTACAGTGTGATAGCTGGCATTGTACATATTAATGCCTGTCATTATTTATTATGGTGGGTGGAGGTTAAAGGTTTTAAATCTAAGGACCTCCCATTTTAGTACTGGATTATAATCACAAGATCAATGTTGGTTAGAATACAGGTGCAAGTGTCTGTGAGCTATAAGAGATAAAAACTACCATTTGGAAGGTTTTTGTATTGAGTATCAGTGATATGTAGCACTGTGGTATCTAGCAGCGCAGAAGTATACTGCACTGCTGTTCATGAAGACCTCTTTAATTGTCAGTGTGCAGGTCTGGTCTTTATTTGCGTTCCCAGCAATTGTCACAGTCACTCCAGGTTCTAGAGATGGGCTTGTTGAATACACGTGTCCCAGGAGCTGCAGTTGGTTGTTTTTGGTTTGCTTGTACCAGAGGATTACATTATAGCTGTCTATACTGTGTGAACAGGTGATTTCTGCTGTTTGTCCTTGCATTTTATACATATCAGCTGGATCCTGGTGGACTCGGTCACTTAATGAAGAACCTGTGTTTAAAAAAAGAATAAAATCAAAAATCAGCAGAAACCTCATCAAAAATAAATTTCCAATATAAGAGTGAATCCTGAAGACTTGAAAAGTTAAAGAGTGCATTACCTGACACGAGGATAATGTTAAGGCTTATGCAGAAGAAAGTGATTATCATGTTGTGTTGCATAACTAAAGTTGGGAACAGAGCTGTTATGTTGGCTGTGCTTTCATAACTGTGTATTCAGTTCTGCTGATTATTCATATCTCATTTCTTGTTAAACCCTCCCACCAGGAAAATGGGCAGTGATGCAGTG